TCAGCTAAAAAAAACCAACTCTTGAAATTTCCCCAGATAAATGTATGAAAATTTAATCCCGGTGTGACGCCCTTGGTTTGACATGATGTGACCTTGAGCGTGGCCATGAAGAGGGGACAAACCCTGCTGCTGCTGGACAATTGTGCCTGTGCATGGGCTGAGGGCTCAGCATCAGTCCTTGTGTGGTGGTGGAGAATCCAGCCCCGAGGTGCATCCATCCCGCCCATCCCTCCGTTTCCCAGCAGGAGAAAGGCAGGTTGCCTCCCTGCTGCTGTTCTGGGGAGCGAGGCAGGTGCTGGTCTCACCTGGAAACCTGTTCTCTGCTCGGGGCTGAAGGACTCCCTGGAATGGCTTTCCATCAGCAAACAGGGCTTTATTGGAATCACATCTTTCCCTGGGAACCTGTCGATCTCGCTGCCATTTTCCCGGGAAGAAGCCTCTCAGAATCACTTTGACTTTCTTGTTTCAGCAGTGTCAAAATGTTTATTCCGCTCATGTCAAAACACGAAGTTCATTTCAGGAAAGTAAAAATATTTCATTTCGCCTTTATCATTTCCTTCACTTAACTTCCACTTTATGTTCCATGAAAGTACTTTTTAATAGGCGCCGCCTGAGATCTCCTCGCGCCGCCACATCCCGGGGAGGAAGCGGCGCGGGAGCGTCACACGTGGCGTTTCCACGGCCCAAATTAGCATTTGGGGGAATTTTCATTTCACAGGATGTGCTGCACGTGTGGCTCTGCCTCCCAAAGCAGAGCAGGCGCTTTGAGCTCTGCTGGGGCTGTCTCGGTGCTTCTTCCCACCCAAACAGCTCTGCTGCTTCTTGGGGTTCTGCCCTGGAGCCCAGAGCTGCTGGGATGGGGAAGGGGATGGGGGATTTGGGAAAGCCCCCAGGGTCAGTCTAGGGGGCTGGGAAGGATAGAGGGTGTCTGCATGGGATGCTGTGGGAATTGGATGGAGATCCTGATGTTTTTCATGGCAAGAGTGACAAAGTTCTGGAACGGCTGCCCGGGGAGGTGGTGGAGTCCCCATCCCTGGGTGTACTTAAAACAAGCCTGGATGTGGCACTGGGTGCCAGGGTTTGGTTGAGGGGTTGGGGCTGGGCTGGACTCGATGATCTGGAAGGTCTCTTCCAACCCAGTGACTCTGTGATTCTGTGATTCTGTGATTCTGTGAATTCTGTGAATTCTGTGAATTCTGTGAATTCTGTGATTCTGTGATTCTGTGAATTCTGTGATTCTGTGATTCTGTGAAATCTGTGAATTCTGTGATTCTGTGATTCTGTGAATTCTGTGATTCTGTGAATTCTGTGAATTCTGTGATTCTGGCCTGGTGGGGTGGGATGAGAGGTGACACCAGCACCAGGTGAGGACACCAAGCCTTGGCTCTGCCTGGAGGTGCTGGGGGAAGGGGGCTCAGTCTGAGCAGTCAGGCCTGGGGCTGTGACCATTCCCAAGGACGTTGGAGATTTGTGTGCTCAGACCCTGCAGCATCAACTGCCCATGGCCTCCTTCAGTGCCACAGTGATTGCTGGGGTTGGACTGCTCAGCTCAGCTCTGCTCTGCTCAGCTCTGCTCAGCTCAGCTCTGCTCTGCTCAGCTCTGCTCTGCTCTGCTCTGCTCTGCTCTTTCTCTTGGCCCTCTGTGCCTGTGCTCATCCCAGCCCTGGAAAAGCAGAGCTGGAGCAGCAGGTGAGAGGTGTAGGAGGGTATTGACTCAGAAAGATCCCTGAAATTCCAGGTGTTACCTCACAGAGCCCCACCTGGCACCTGGGAGCAAGGGGACCCCGGGGTGTGGGGGACAGAGGTGGCAGCTTGGTGCCCCCCAGCTCTGCCCCCTGGCCTGTCTGTGCCCATGGGGCATGGCTGAGCAGCGGGGCTGCAGCTCCCAGGGGCAGCTGGCTGATGGAGATGCTCCTGCCCGCTGCCAGGAGGGTGAGTGACCATCACCCAGGTGCTCGGGAAGGGGGGCTGAGCCAGCCCCGTGTTTCTGCTGGGGGCAGAGGATTCACCATCCCCCTCTGGGCATCCCAGAGCTGGGTGTGCCTTGCACGCAGGAATGGGGCCACCTGCACCCAGGAATGTGCTGCTCTGCATCCACTGCCCTGAGCAGGAGGTCAGGGGTGAGCCTTGGGCAAGGCTGGGATGGGATGGGATGGGATGGGATGGGATGGGATGGGATGGGATGGGATGGGATGGGATGGGATGGGATGGGATGGGATGGGAGCAGCTTTGGTTGAGAGGAGCCACAGAGTTGTCCAACCTGTCACTTTCCCCACCAGCAGCCATGCCTGCCTGGAGGCGCTGGCACTGCTGTACAGGTGGGGAAACTGAGGCAGCAGGTGAGCGAGACCAGCGTGTTTCTGCAGCACTGGGTGGTCTGGCAGCGTGGGCAGGGGGCTCTGAGCGCCATCCCCGAGGGGTGAGGTGGCTGAGGGTGAGGGCAGGGGATGAACGGAGCAGCACCAGGAGGGAGAGGCACCCACGGGAAGGGCTCTGCAGGCTGGGACCCTCTGCCAGGCTCGGCCCTGGGGAGCTGGGCTGGGAAAACAAGGCTGGAGAGAGGGTGAGAAATGTGGGAGGCCTTTGACTAAGAAAGGCAAGAGTGAGGGAAAAAACATCGCTGGGCTCCAAGTGGGCAAAAGGCTGCACAGAGAGGAGGGAGCAGCAGAGGAAGGAGGTCAGGGGTGTAAACCACAGCGAGGGAAATTTGGGAGAGATCCCTGGAGAAATGCTTCGGGGAGGAGGGAGGCACAGGGCAGCACTGAGTCAGGGGATTTTGGGGTCAGGTCTCTCCTGAGGGTTGCTCTGGTGCCAGCCTGGCTGAGGCTCCCCAGAGCAGCGGCACCAGGAGCTGTGGGGCTCTAGCAGGTCCCCAGCTGCTGGGCAGGGGTCAGGGAACCCCAAAAAGCCCCCAGCTGCTGGGATGTGCCTCCAGGGCCAGCTGGAGCCTCTGCAGCCATCACTGTCACTGTGGGCTGTGAAACAGAGCACTTGTCAAGTCCCGCCTGTATATTGTATTATATTTATTACATTATATTGTATCTATTAGATTATATTATACTTTATTATATTATTAGAGCTGTCAGGCCGAGCACTTCCAGGCTGGAACCATCAGCTCCTCAGTTGCTTGGGTAACCTCAGGCCGTCCCTTTGGGCCGGGAGTGGGGCTGCAGGAACAGGATTGCTCGTGACTGCGGCATGAAAGAGCTGTTACGGGAACAACTGGTGGCACCAAGGGTGACAAAGAGCAGAAGGATGCAGGGAACTCGGTGACAGCGTTACCCAGGCATGGCTGCTGGGCAGGGACTGCAGTGTGGACGGGCAGAGTGAGGCAGGAGGGGAAGGGACAAAGGTGGGGGACACAGTGCTGCTGCAGACACCTCTGTCCCCAGTGCGTGCAGTGCCAGGGGTGTCACCCCAGTGGATGCATGGGGAAGGGGACATTGGGGTGGATTCAGGGGGCAGGGGTCAGGCCAGTGTCCCCAGTGGGTGCTGGGTGGGTGCACGACGAGGGGTGTGCACCCTCGTGGGTGCCGGGCTGTGTGTGGCTGGAGCAAACAGCGCTGTCCTGCCGCCCGCTGGGCCAGGCGGGGCCGAGCCCTCGGTCACCCGTGGGGACAGCACCGGGAAGGGACCCGGCGGATGGGCCCGCGGGCACGACAGGCACGAGGAGACTGGGATCGGGGTCGGGATCGGGATCAGGATCGAGGATCGGGATTGGGATTGGTACCAGATTGGCATCGGGGTTGGGATTGGGATTGGCATCGGGATCAGGGTCGGGATCGGCATCGGGATCAGGGTCGGGATCGGGATCGAGGACGGGGATTGGCACAGGATTGGCATCGGGATTGAGATTGGCATCGGGATTGGCATCGGGATCAGGGTCGGGATAGGCGTCGGGATCGGGGTCGGGGTCGGGATCGGGATTGGGATTGGGATTGGGGTCGGGGTCGAGATTGGGATTGGGGTCGGGATCGGGATTGGGATTGGGGTCGGGATCGGGATTGGCATCGGGATCGGGGTCGGGATCGGGATCGGGATTGGGATTGGCATCGGTATCGGAGTTGGGATCGGGATTGGGATCGGGATTGGGATTGGCATAGGGGTCGGGATCGGTATCGGGGTCGGGATCGGATGGGAACGGGATCGGGATTCGGATCGGATTCACGTCGGGATCGGGGTCGGGATCGGGATTGGGATTGGGATCGGGATCGGATGGGAACGGGATCGGGATCCGGATCGGATTCACGTCGGGATCGGTATCGGGGTCGGGATCGGCATCGGGATCGGGATCGGATGGGAACGGGATCGGGATCCGGATCGGATTCACGTCGGGATCGGGATCGGAGTCGAGATTGGGATTGGGGTCGGGATCGGGATTGGGATTGGCGTCGGTATCGGTGTCGGGATCGGGATTGGGATCGGTATCGGATGGGAACGGGATGGGGATCCGGACCGGATTCCCGCCGGGATCGGGGTCGGGATCGCCCCGAAGGTGGGCGGGGGGCGTGGCCGCGCGCAGGGGGCGTGGCCGGGGGCGGTGGGCGGGGCCCGCGCGGGGTCTCCCCGAGCGCGCGGCGGGGGCGTGGCCGAGGCGGGGGGCGTGGCCCGTAGTAAAGGGGCGTGTCCCGCCGCGCGGCCGCGTTGCCCGGGGTGACAGCCGGCACCGTGACGTCACCCGCGGGGCGGGGCCGCTCCCCCCATTCATCCCCCCCGCGCGCGGAGCGTCCCGCCGGCGCCCATCCAATCAGCGGGCGGGGGGGCGTGGCCGCCGAGCCCCTCCAGCCAATCAGGCGGCGGCGGCGGTCCGGGGCAACAATGGGGGGCGCCCGGGGCGCACGTGGGGCCGCGGCGGGGCCGGGCGGGGGTCGCGGCCCCGGGCCGGGCGGGGGCAGCGCGGGGCCGAGCGCCGTGCCGGGGCTCTCCGCTCCGCTCCGGCCCGCCCCGCCGCTGCCCCGCCAGCCGCGGGGGCACTCCCTCCCCCGCCCTTCCCCGCCCCTCCGGGCCCTCCCCCTGTGTCACGGCGGCGCCCGCATTCGGAACGGGCACGGCGGAGGGAGGGAAGGAAGGAGGGAGCGAGAGGGAGAAGGAGAGAAGGAGCGAGCGAGCCGCGGCCGCCCCAGCATGTGGCCCGCCCGCGCCGTGGCGGCAGCGCGGCGGCGGCGGCGGCGGCGGGCAGGTGCGCGGCCGCTGAAGCGGAGCGGGGGGGCGTAGGGGCGGGAGCCGCCCGCCGCCGCCCTCGCCGGCGCTGTCAGGTGCGTGCCGCCCGCCAGCATGGCTCCGCCGCGCCGCCGGACCTAGCGCCGGGCCGCCCGCGGGAGACTGCGCCCGCCGCGCCGAGGGCTCCCCACTATCTCCGTCCCGCTTCTCCCCGCTTAGGTGCCCCGCCGCCCGGCCCCGGAGCCCGCCGGTCCCCGGCCGAGGATGCCGCCCGCCGCCGCTCGCTCCGGTTCATCTGTTGCTGCCTGACCGCGCCGCCAGCCCGATGGATGCGGCCGCCCCCGCGCCCTGCCCGCCCGCAGCCGCCCCGCTGGCTACTGAGCCGGGAACCGCTCCGGAGGTCCGCGGCTGGTAAAAACCAAACCAAAACCAAATCCGAACCAAAAAACACTCCCCCGCTTCGGGCCGGACTGGAGAGGCGGCCGAGGACCATGCAGCGTGTCCCCCGGCTCGGCGCTCCCGGCGCGGCGCCGGCCGCAGCCGCCTCCTAAAGCCGCCGGACCCGGGGCTCCCCCGGACTCGGAGCTGCCCCCGCCAGGACCCGCGCACCGAGCGGCTCCTCCTTTCCTTCTCCCCTCCAGCCGGGCAGGGAGCCCGCCTTCGCACTCCTCTCCCTCTCCAGATTTTGGGTTTTTGTTGTGTGTTTGGGTTTTATTTTTTGGGTGGAAAACGCCCGTAACTCCGGGGGAGGGGGGGGGCTGTGGGGTGGCAGCGGGGAGGCGACCATGGAAGAAAAGCTCCAGGCGCATCAGGTGGAGATCGACCCGGATTTCGAGCCGCAGAGCCGTCCCCGCTCCTGCACTTGGCCTCTCCCCCACCCCGACTTGGCGGAGGAGGAAGATGGGGGCGCGGGGGGAACCCCGGCGCTGGCGGCCGGCGGGGACGGAGCCGAGAACGCGGTGGCTCCGGTGGAGCGCAGAGTCGCCGCCGCTCCCCCGCCGCCCCCCGGCGCGGATGTGGGGCAGCTCCGCAAGGCCAAAACCTCCCGGCGCAACGCCTGGGGCAACCTCTCCTATGCCGACCTCATCACCAAAGCCATCGAGAGCTCGCCGGAGAAGCGCCTCACCCTCTCCCAGATCTACGACTGGATGGTGCGATACGTCCCCTACTTTAAGGATAAAGGAGACAGCAACAGCTCTGCCGGCTGGAAGGTACCTGACCCCCTGACCCCAACCCCAGCGCAACTTTGCCCTCTCTCCCGGAGGTGTGCCGCCGCTTGGAGCTTTCTCCCGGGGCAGCCGGAGCTCGGTCCTGGCGGGGAGGTTGGGGGGATCCCCGCCGTCCTCACAGCTGGGGAGATAAGGGCTCGGCCAAGTTTTGGGGAGAGCCGGTGCTTCGTGGCGCTGTGTTTTGGAACCGGGGCGAGCTTGTCCCTGTGCCGGGGCCGGGGGTCGGAGCGGTGCCGCCGTCCCCCGGGGGGTCAGGGCGAGGGATGGCGACAGGCAGCGGGGTGGCGGGCGGCTCTCCCACCCTGAGGTGAGCCAGCGAGGGGCAGCCCCTCGCAGCGGGGTACAGCGAGCGGTAACCCCAGCGGCACGCTCTCCCGGCCCTGCCGTGGGGATGCCGGCCGTGCCCGCTGCCCGGTGCCGGTGCCGTGCCCGGTGCCGGTGGCGTGCCCTGCCCGGTGCCGTGCCCGCTGCCCGGTGCCGGTGGCGTGGCCGCAGTTCGGCCGGAGGGCTGTACCGGAGCAGCTCTCTCCGCACGGGTTTTCACCCGGGGCGTCCCCGCCGGCTCAGCCCTCGCCTTCCCCGGGGCCGCGTCCCCCTCCCGGGGGGCCCGGCGGGCAGCGCACGGTCCCCGCGGCTCCGGGCGGGCATTCCCCGGCTCGGTGCTCGCCTGGCACTGCGGGCTCCCGAGGATTCCCTGGCGCAGGCAGTGCTCCCTGCTTGTCGCTGCGAGCTGGGCATCCATGGCACCAGCGAGGGCACGGAGGGTGCTGGGTCTGGGGTCACCCCGACCCCTGCCCCTCTGGCGGGGCTCTGCACTGGAGAGGGAGAAGGGATCGGCTGTGTCCAGATGGTGTCAGTAAAAAGGAGCCAGTTTCTCTTAAGTCCTCCCCTAAGCCCTGTCACCTCCGGTGTGATTAGTGTGTAGCAGGCTCCGGGGGCTCCCACACCAGCCTGACGGCCCTGGCACGCGTGTCCTGGCTCTGCTGGGGCAGCTAGATCCTGCCCACCTCGGGGGGGTCGTTCTTGGGTGCAAACTGGGCTCTTTTGGGGCAGGAGGGCTGGACTATAGGGCACCTGTATCCAGGAGCTGCTGTTGTGTGGAGGCTGGGCACCCACTCCTGCTGAGGGGGCTGAGGGCAGCTGCTGTGCCCTGGTGCGGGAAGGGTGCCAGGGCTGCGGAGGTGGCAGGAGGTGGTGCCTGTGTGGGGCTGTCCAACCTCCAGCTGAGGTGAGACCTGCACAGCCCTGGGCAGAAAGGGTCTCTCAATGCTCACACAGCATGGGGACAGCAGGGAACATGCACTGATGGGGTCTGGAGATGTGCCAGGGGGCTGGCAGGGCTGGGATGAGGAGTGAAGGGATTCCCAGGCAGTCACACGTGTCACTGGGGGCTTCACATTGCGTGGTGTGCAAGGGGGGAGGAGAGGCTCAGAGTCCAGCTGCTGTTGGGCACCAGGCTCGTTTTTGGGGGCTGCTTGCTCAGGTGGGCTCCCCTGTGTGCCCCCATCATGGGGTGCTCTCCCCTTTCCTGGCCCATCTCTGGCTGGAGCTCCTCTGCCATGGCTCTGCCTGCGCTGCACTGCTGGGGCTGTTCCCTCCTGGCAGCCTCCCTTGCACTGGGATTTGAACCCCCCTGAAGTGCCCTGCCCACCCAGGGGTGCCCTGGAGCCTCTCCTGGTGTTGCAAGTGCCCAGTGCCCAGCTGGGGCTGGCACTGCCAGGGCTGGCAACAGCCTGAGCGAGAAGCAGAGACCTTCTTTGCGTGATGGTTTCATCAGGCACCAGCGTGTCAGGGGTTAAACACCTCCCCCACCGCCCGTGGTCCCTCCTGGCTGTCCCCTGCCCCAGTGCCCCCGGGTGTCCCCTCCCCTGGGTGTCCCCAGGGCGCTGGACAGTGTTTTCCCTGTGGCCCCAGGCGTGGGAGAAGCATGGCAGGGCTTCAGCTTTTCACTGCCAGGGTCGGAGGGAGGTCTCGGCCGCTCCTCTGGTTGTTCCCTCACAGCCTCTGCGTGCTGGACAGAGCAGGATGGTGGGGTCTGAGGGCCCAGAGTGCCCACGGGCATCGGCTGTGCTGCTGCTCTGGCAGGACTTTGTAGGATCATGGAATGCTTTGGGTTGGAAGGGACTTAAAGCTCATCTCATCCCACCCCCTGCCACGGGCAGGGACACCTTCCACTAGACCAGGGTGCCCAGAGCTATGTTCAACCCAGCCCTGAGCACTTCAAATCCCGCTCTTGACTTCTCCAAACCCTCTCTGCCTCGTGCCAGCACTGGAGGGACCTTCACAGGTGGACCCGTCCCTGCATGCAGCTGGCAGTGGTGTCTGGTGGTCCGTCAGGAATGTGTGCCCCAGGCTGGTGGTTGTCTCTTGAGAGGGGAGGCTGTTGGCAGGAGTTGCATTTTGGGCAGGAGCTGCATTTTGGGGTCGGGCCTCTCCTTCCCCACCAGGCTGCGCATTGCATTACACAGTTCCATAAAATCACAGAACCTCAGAATGGTTTGGGTTGGAAGGGACCCCAAAGCTGATCCCATTCCACCCCCTGCCACAGCCAGGGACACCTTCCACTATCCCAGGTTGCTCCAAGCCCTTTTCCACCTGCCCTTGGACACTTCCAGGGAACCAGGGACAGCCACATCATCCACGGTGGGGCAGACTGAGGGACAGAACCCCAACACCTCAGCCATGGCCAGCCGGGACCAGGACCGGGACCTGGCTGGGTGTGATGGGAGCACAGTGGGGCTGCTCTGGCTGCTGATCCTTGGGAAGTGCATTCCCCCCGGGCTGAGCCGGCTTGTTGGGCTGTGCACCAGGAGCTGGAGCTGCTGCTGCTGCTCCCTGATGCAGGGCAGCGGGCGCCCGCTGACTGACAGTTCTGCTTAATTAGGGAGTTGTTATTTTATCAATTCCAAAGCGCTTGAAGTTTTCTGCTCCAGCTCACGCTTTCCTCTTGTTAATGGGAAACCAACACCCTCCGTCAGAAAGGCAGCGGCGCTGATGCATTTTAAAGGGTTCGGCTTGCTCCGGTTTGACATCCAAAATATAACAATCAAGCCATCAGCTGGTGGATGCCTGTTTGATGCGGCTCTGACAGCGCTGAAAACCTTAATTTCTCAGCCTTCCCTCCACCTCCTCCTCGTTTCTATTGCCGGGTCGGTGCCTGGCATGGGGGTCAGGACTGCTGGGGGCTGCCATGCAGAGACACCCCCCTGCCGAGTGCCACCGTCCTCCTGCAGGGCAGAACTGAAATGAATTAGGCAGAAAAAGGTGTGGAAATGGTGTGTGAGCGGCAGCGTGGCCAGAGTTCTCATTGCTGCTCCAGGATTTGGGGTACCAGGCTGCTGCCCCTCCCTGCTGCTCTGTGAGCCCTGAGCTGTGGCCAAGGCAGAGGGTCCCGCTGGGCACCCCGAGGATCCCTCCAGGGAGCAGCTCCTGGCTCTGTGGCTCTCCCACTGGTGCCACCCCCTGCCCTTGCCCTCCTGGATGGGGACAGTGCCTCTGGAGCCTTGCCCAGCGTGGCTGGAGAGGCTCCAGCCCAGCGCCCAGAGCGATGGGGATGGATCCCGTCACGGAGGGCAGCCCCAGAGCCACGAGGGTGTGGGTGCTGCCGCTGGGGTGGCACAGCAGTGACGGGGCAGGCACAGGGAGGATGGGGTGAGCCGGCTCTGGGGGTGCACATCAGGCTGGCTCCCGTTTGTGCTGGTTTGGCCCCACTCGGGGCTCCCCTTGGGGCAGTTGGGCCGGGCTGGGCTCGGTCACGGATCCCATCCTCGCCATATAAGGCGATTTTTCCAGCGGCACCGAGAGCCCGGTGCTCCCCAGGCTGCCCTGGGCTGGGAGCAGAGGGGCTGGGAGAGCCCCAGGAGCAGGCAGGGCTGGGGGAGCTGCTTCACCTCGGGGAACCCCTCTGCTCCAGCTCCACCCCGCTCCGGATAAGCCACCCTGGCCCTCCTGTCCCCACCCCCGGGATGCCCTTGTGGGAGCTGGGCTGGGGTCTCTGACCCTTTGGTACCATGGGGTCTCCCCAGCTGTCCCCAGCTTCCCCCAGGGATGGTGGAGCCCACTCACATCCCCTCAAGTGCTGCAGTGTTGCTGTGGCTGTGAGGAATCCCCTTTCCTCCTTCCCACCTCATTTTGCTCTCTCCTTTTGGAGGTTTTCATCTTCTAATTTTTTTTTTTTTTTCTTTTCCCTCTCTCCCTTCTTCTGGAATCGCTTCTCATGCAGCGCTAACTGCTGAAGTAACACAAACCTGCTAAATGGTCCGGCTTTATGATAGCATAAAAATGATACTACAGAAGCGAGTGGGGCTTTATTAAACCCCAGGGAAAGGCTCCAAATGAACAGCTTGCTCTGCTCTTAGCTTCCTCCCCCTACTCCCCCCTTTATTTTTAATAACCACTGGAATATAAACTACAGTTAAGATCCTGTGGACTAGAAGAGCGCTTGCAGCGTGGCATTCTCACCACCTTCCCCCTGGATCCCTGTGTGCATCCCTGCCTCTGTTTCCTGGTGCTAGGGTGAGAGAAGGACCAGCATCCTGGGCTAGAAAATGGATTTTGTGATGAAAAAGCCTTGTAAATATTTTTTTGGGGGGGCTGTGGTTCGTGCCAGGTGTGTTTTGGGAGCGAGCCGGGGCTCCTTGGCCAGGCTTCCCTCTGTGGGATGCTGCTGGCAGTGAGGCCCTTGGGGCTGAAGGAGTGGGGTTGGACACTCGTCACCTCTGGGTCCTTGCAGGGCATTGACAGGAAGGGGGTGAATGTCCCTCCCTGTGCATCAGCAGGGGCTGGCATGGCTGGACCCCCATCCCCAGGCTGCCCCCTCCATCCCTGGGGCTCATCCCAGACCTCACAGCCACTTGGATTTCCCCAGGGGGATGCTCTGGAGCTGGGGGTGGGTCTCCCCTCACCCTGACACCCCCCTGCACCCCACGAGGCAGCTGCCCCCCGTCCCTGCCCCCAGCACGGTGGGCTCCCTGCTCCCATCA